ACCGTATTAATAGGTCGAAATATCGAATTATAATTTTAATGTTTTAGTTCTAATTGTTTAATTTTTATTTTTTATTATTTGATTAAAACTTTTTATTAAAATTCTTAATATGATAGCCGCATTGGTTTTAAAATTTCTATTGGAAAACTTAATATTTCTCGATTTGAACGTTTATGAAAAACATAATTTATGACTAGAAACTGAGATCAGAAAGTATAGTAACTAAAATATATTTTTGTTGATTGCGTCTACTTTTAGTGTCTTCAATTGTGTCGTCTTTGGCGCACAATCTGTTGGTCAGGCGGCATCACTGTGAGTATTATATACCACAAGTGTTGAAATAATACACTCTTTTTTCTTCTCTAGAGTACCAGATTATAGTAAAGCAACTGAATCAGCTTCAAATATTCTTGATTTATTTGCAATAAAACCAAAAATTGATAACGGTTCAACCGATGGAGAACAAATAGTAACTACTTATTCTCTATCCTGAAAAACTCTTTTGAATAAATGTGTATTTATTTTAACTAGGCCAATTTTAATGGTGAAATTGAATTCGATGGTGTGTATTTCGTGTATCCAAACAGACCGGAAGCAATCGTTCTAAGAAATTTGAAATTAAAAATTAAGCCTGGTACGTTAAAGTTTTGCGCGACTTCTAAAAGTTATTAATAATTCGTCCATTGTTTTATTTAATAGGTCAAAAAATTGCTTTAGTAGGTATGAAACGTCTTAAAAACTGCTTTTTCTCGTTTTACTATTTATTGTATTTTATTAAAAATATAGGCAGTAGTGGATGTGGAAAATCGACCACGGTACAACTGCTAGAACGCTTCTACGATGCAGTTGTAGGTCGATTGGTGAGTGAAATAGGCTATATTTATGTTTCACACTCATAGAACGTTCTTCTATGTTTTTTGAAGCTACTAGATTCGAAAGATGTTCGAAGCCTTAATTTACAATGGTACCGTTCTCAAATTGGTATCGTATCGCAAGAACCTATTTTATTCGATGTGTCTATTAGAGAAAATATTGCGTATGGTGATACTTCAAGAGAAGTGCCAATGAATGAAATTATAGAAGCAGCAAAAAATGCTAATATTCATAACTTTATTGAACAATTACCTCTGGTATGCTAGTCTAATGTTTACATTCCAGTATTCTTGATTAGCAGTAGGAGATATTTCTCTTTTGATTTAGGGTTACGATACGAATTGTGGAAGTAAAGGAACACAATTGTCAGGCGGGCAGAAACAAAGAATTGCAATAGCTCGAGCATTAGTAAGAAATCCAAAAATTTTATTACTTGATGAGGCAACAAGTGCCTTGGATCAAGAAAGCGAAACAGTTGTACAGGAAGCTTTGGATCGGGCACAACAAAATCGTACATCAATTACAATTGCTCATAGACTTTCAACAATTCAAAATGCAGATTTAATTTGTGTAATAAGACATGGGCGGGTTGTTGAAAGCGGACGACATAATGAATTGTTAGCGAAACAAGGCTATTACTTTAAACTAGCTCAAAGCAAGCTAAAGTGATACAAGTAAAACTGTTGAATAATATTTTAGTTTTTTGTTATTCTTTTATCTTTTTATCACTCATACATGTTGTGCAAACGCTTTCTTCTGTTTCTGAAAACTAAAAGTCGAGAATTCATTCCGACGCTCATATTCAAGTCAAAAGAGCAAAGTCCAGAGAGAATGATAACAATTCCATCTTCATTAACTAGTTCAGATATATCAGCATCGTGGGCCACTTGTCAGTAATCTTTCAGAAAGAATCGAGCAATTAGAAATATTTGAAATTTCCAGTTGACGTACTCCTGCATCATTGACTTTATGAAGGTATTGACCGAACGTTTGTCCGTTGAAATTTTAGATTGAGATACGGCGAACATGAAACGTACGCTAAGTTTTTAGTCTATTTTGCCTTACTCGATGAAATACTGCTTTCTGAATTAACTCGAGAATTCTCATTTCTTTTTGCCAGTTATAGTAATTTTATTGATGATGATGATTCACTATTCTCTAGACAGCTTTTGATCAATAAAATCATGATCAGATTTAGTTTAGATTCTATTTTCTATACAACAGAAAACAAGACAACTGAATAGCACAGTGTTTGATCAATTGAATAAGTATCAGAAATGGTACAGATTCCAGATCATTTATCTAATTCAAGGATATCTTAACATTTTTCTGGTAATCAGAGATACGCAACACTAGTAAGTGTTCGAGTTGCCAATTTTGGAGTTGAGCGAAGTTTCCGCGGTTAGGCAAAATTTCTCGGGCTTAGACTGTGTTCTTGGAAAATATCGACAGTAATACAATAAGCATATAACAAATAATCAAGTTACATAAAGCCGCAGAAGCTTCATTATTTCTAACGCTTAGAGCATAGAAAACTATGCAGAAGCCTCAACAAGGAATATATTCAATCAGACACACGGAATTATTATGAAACATCCTGAAAAATGTTCCAAACTGCCTCCCTCTTCAGTCTTGTTAACAAAGTCAACATCGTCAAAGCCATTATTACTGTCTTTTTAGAATAGAAATACAACCGCATCTCATAGAAAAATCGATAAAATACAAATCAATCCCCAAAATTGAAACAAACAACTGAAAAAATTAGACTACAGATCGTTTATTTAAGGGAGATATTCCAGTTTTATGGCAGTTCCCATTCGAACTTTGTAATTTAATTTGAGCTAGTTTAAAAGAGTCTCATATTAAATCCAATAACTAGAGACTTTTCTAAACTAAACTCCGCCCATAATATAAGACCACCTGGTTTTCTATTCGGTCGAATTCTGAAGGGTGGTCTTCTATTGCGGTTAAATTTAGTCACCTGCTAGTAGTCCAGCGATAACTACTCACACACTTGAAGTCCATCCTCTATTAGAAGAACATTTTGACAAAATTTTTTTGAAAATTGTCCTATATTTTTTCGATTTTTTTGGCGGTCATAATAGCAGACCATGGTTTTCTGTTTGACAATCAAGTCATATAACTGGCAGTGGTCTTCTAACAGAGGATGGTCTTCTATTAAGGGATGATCTTCTATTATAGGGAGGCGGGGCAGGTAGTTCGAATTAATTTAAAAGTTCGAGTGGGTCACTCAGATGAAACAAAAACCGATAATAAAACAATAAACGTCCTTCAGCATAAGCGCACAACATATTCAAATACTCTGTCAAGAATTCATTTGCTAACGCACTTGATTATTGACATTCATCAGAACTACATTATGATTAATATTCCAATCTGTTTTGTACATTTCTCGTGTATGGTTCTTTTGGTGAAAGCGATCAAAATACATTTCTGATTAATCAATAAACCTCTTGTATGTCGAACCATTGATTGAATCAATGACATCCACTTGGTTTTTGAAACAGATCATGCGTTGTCGTACCTGAATACTTTTGGCAAACTGCCCAAATCTTCAATTTTCTTTAATATGTCCCATCAATGATAAACCATCACGAAAACCTAAAGTAAACACAGCTAAAACATCAAAACAATTGAAAATACTTGAAAAATAATTTTCTCAGAAATCTACAACGACACCACAGTTTAGCATTGTATAAACCCCACGACAGTTCCCTATCATTCAAAAAACATCCACTGCGATTCATGCTACATTCTTCCGTTTTGCTGCTCAAATCATTTTTACGTAAGCTAATTTAATATTTTCAGAAGGCCGTACTTGATCAGCGCCATTTCCGTCTAATTTGCATTTTTCAGCAGTAGTCGACATATTTTCGGAACCTAACCGAACAAGGCCTCAACAAAATAGAATTTAACAGAAGATATAAAATGTAGAGTTAGACACACATTTCATTACTAATCACGATTTGACAACAATTTACACAAAGACAGCGTATCGCTTCTGAAACCGATCTGTCACGAGAGCCACTAAGCATGTCACTTTGCACGTGAATTAATACTTGTATTATGCAAGTTTTGTATAGATGATTTCTTCGTGTATCAACTTTATTGTTTTTCCAGTGGTATCTATCGATTACTATTTGGGTACATTTTCTTCACTGAGCATCTGATTTTATTAATTTCTATAGTATGACTCCCTGTTAAGATGAGTTTTCCCTGGAAAATACGACTAAATCTAAAGTAGAGTAGCGCCCTCTATTGCACTCGATTACTGTCATTACACTCTACTGGACTGAAGGGCATTTAAGAATGACATCAACTTGTTTGCTAGAAGAATTATCTTCCTCTCGACCAAACACCCGCTAGCCGTTTTCCATATCTTGCACAGCGGGAGACAATTCTTTTATATAACCCTACACTAAAGTCAAACAAAACAAGGAAATACGGGAGTTTCGTATGGCTAAGCAATAGTTCGCAACTCACTGGACGCTTTTACTTTGGTCGAGTAATAAATAGAACGAAACATACTTTTCTTATTTCTCACGAGATAATGGTCAACCGAATGCATCGAATGATAATATTAATAATAACTCACAATGGAGCTGAACCCAAACAGTGAGCCATTCGTATTTTTTAACTCGTTTTTGGATTTTGAATCATTCCGTCCTCTTTGCGTAGCTTTTGCAGAATGTGATCGTTTACTTTTGTCGTCCGTCATCGACAAGTGGAATCGGAAAACCACTATTTCACACTTAGCAGAGCAATGGAAAAACACATACCACCCCCACCCCTCCAGTCAAGCTTCAAAACTGTTTTTAGGTGTTTTATATAATGTTCAAGGTTTGTCGTCACGTTATAACGAAATCCAATATCTGATCGGTTCGGAACATCCGTTGGTCTGCGTATGTGCAGAAACCGGTCCGATCCATCAACACCATTTATTATCTCATTTTCCGTCATACAGAGAGTCTCATGTGCAAGGTGTAAACTCACATGGTGGAGTGCTCATACTGGTGCATACATCCATCACATCGAAGCTCATCCACTCCGAACTGAATTTGTTAGCGGTGTCGTTAGGTCTAGGCTGCTGTTCGGTTAATGTTGTTGGCTTGTACAGCCTACGTTCATCACCGTTACCACTTTCATCACTGAATAATTTATTTTCGGGTTTCGGTAGTACTCCTGTTTTCTTTATGAGAGATATAAATTCATATTCGATTAGCTGGCTATAACGGACACGAAATAAAGTTTGTAAATAAGTTTACAAACCTTGGTTATTTTATGACATCGAAGTTAGGTTTTGGAAAGTTTTTGGATTCTGAATGTTCGAAAATTTCGTCCTCATTTCGGATAGTTTCCGATTTATTTGTTCGTTATCAACGTCTTTCTATTCAATTACGTCGACAAGCTTTTTTTGCTTATGTTTATCCTCATTTCGTTTGGATAATCAATGTTTTCTTTTATCTCACGCCACGACAGCAAGAACGAGTTTGCAGCCTATATGCCTTTTATTTAAAAATAGTTTATGGCTGTTATTATCTCGACACAAATTTCTTTTTTTCTGTCCCGGGAGAACGTACCTTTTCGGATCAAGTTTTCCGATATTGGGCAAAATATTTATCAATCTTATACGAACAGACTGATACTGTTGGTTTAGTCGACACCTGGCCCTGTCTCACATACCCTGAAGCTTGCATATTTTAAACACCACCTCCAGCTAACACAAGTCATCTGTCATTGCTCCTTTTTTAATCTGCATAATATAAACATTAATTTTTTCGTTTTTTGTAAACACTCATCAATCTCTTAACCGTATGCAGCCTCGATCAGCTTAGAAATCGACATAATATGTTTGTCCTGTCACTTTCTGCTAATAAACAAACAAACAGTTCCTTAGTTTCCTTTTGTGCGAACGCCAAAAGACTCACAAAACAACGAAAGTCGTGGTGGAAGCACGGGTTAAATGGATAGGCCATATACGAACTTAAGCCAACAATGAGTAATTACTCTAGAAGTTGAACTTTCAAGAAAGGTTTTCATCAAGAGTTGAACTGCGACTCAACTAATGTTGTGTATGCAGTACAAGTTGTGGCCTAGGAGAAACGAGGACTTAGATTTAAATAGTGTCTCAACCGAGATATACGAGAGTTCTCAATTAAGCTGAACAACAAAGAGAATATGCAACGTATATGAAGTTTTAATGACAACGATTTTTGAAAAAATTGTACAATATTTACAGTTGATTTTAATAAATTAAGCATTTCTTTGTGATATCCACCTCAAACGGCCATTCTCAAATCTTATTATTACAAAAAAAACAGTACATACAACAGCATGATGCTTTTCCTTTCTTTATATACATGAGAAACAGCGAGAAGAACGTTCTTTTGTAAGTATGACGCCATATTTAAAAAACGCATATTATCTACAAAGTTTATTTTCTGACCCGGCGGTGTTATAAACAAAGGGTATTTTAAGCCTGTATAACTGAAAACTAAAATTTCACTGTTTCATATCAATCAAAACATTGCTCGATTGAACTAATTTCAAACAAAATTTGTCTTGTCCTTGATATGTTGATGTCACAATGCGCCAAGTTCCTTGAAAATCATCCGTTTTCTCGTTGTATTTTAATTCAATTGCAACGT